TTTGGTGCGTCGTTCTCTGCACTGCATGTATCGTAGACGGGCGTCTTTTAGACTTTCCTCGAAATAATTATCTCTAGCGGAATACTCTCGACAAGATGATTTTTACTCGCCAGTTACAGGGCATCTCATGAGAGTTCTGGCGGCAAGGAAGTCAGCCATCCGAAGGGTTGAGCTTGCGGGTCGCCGTCACTGTCACGCACACTACTACTCATGTCCCCAAGCCATGCGCGGTGAACCTTGCAGGGTGAGTGATGTGCGTAGCAGAGTCGAACGTTGGTGAGTAGAGACCGCCGCTTAGGATAACCAGAAGCACAACCAAACCGTACCACGCGCTTGATGGAATACGTGTCGTGGAATTTCAAAAGACATTTGGTGTGTGAAAAAAAGAGGGAACTTGTCCTCGACGGACGTTGGGGAGTTTGGACGTTGTTGAAACGTTCCTCCACACCTTCCTGTTTTGTCATTTTTGGAGGACATTTTCACCTGTTTTTTTCGATAAAATCAGGTCGTACCTCAGTTGTACAAAAACAGAAAAATACGCGCAACACCCCATGATCAACTTGCCCTAATTCCCTATCCCCCCCACCGCCCCAAGTGCCATCCAAAGGGGCTTGGTTTCCTCCGTTACATCTAGAACCATCACAGATCGGAGGAATGGTCACCACCACCACCACCACCCCACTGTCACAGGTCGCAGCGTTTCGTGCGAACTGCGCTCACCATAGGTGACGTATTTTTTGATAGAATCGTCGTTGCTGTACTCAATATTGTCGACGGAACCAGTCGGTTCCTTGTTGAATTTAGAGGCTATTGCACAAGTGCACGCATCACACAAACAAGAAATACACCTATTGTCCTCACCTGGCTGCGAACTGGTTCATGTTGGAGAACACAGCCCGGTCACGACATCTACATGTATGCATATCATACGTATCGAAACACGCCAAAGAGAACAACAAAACGAAGCATGGGTATATTTTTTGGACCCCCCCCAGAAGCGCGAGGAAGGGACCACCATGACGAACAACAAAAGTACCAGGTCTCTCCCTCAAACCTCCAAAAACACCAAAACCTTGTGTGCTTACGTATGACGATCACTCCACAGTAACGCTACAAACAGCACTTCGATGGGTATACTACAAATCCCAGTTGAGAACACCACGCCACCCCCGTTCGCGCTCAACTAATGCGGCGGAAATAAATACGGCAGATAGATGCCTTCGGAAGCGCCAAGGGCATCGGCAATTGCGCACAAAATCACCGACAATACATCAATTCGCGTCCAAAAACCAAAACACCACACAATGCACACAGGGCGCTCGAAAACGGGAGCCTGCAAACGCATACCCACACGCGCATGGAAATCAGCCACCCGACAGGCTCAACACAAGAAAAAGCGTCACACCCCACACACCTACACGCACGTGCACGCCCGTCACCCCGCCCCCCCCCCCCTCACGGGATCCTAGGTCATGGGGTCTTCGGAAGCGTTGTCCGTTTTCTAGCCGCACTGAGAAGCATTTTCCATGGGTCAGTCTCGAAGCGCCATTGATCGCAGTGATACCGACACACACAGACACGCACACATGCACAAACCCTGTTTCACAGTGCGCACTCCCTACCAGTTGTCCGGATCATTGTCCAGAAATAGAGGTGCATACATAACTGCTGTCTTCGGGCTGTGTCATGAAAAAAAAAAAAAAACTCAGTCTAACATCATACTAACCCACGGTGGCTCTCTCGCCCCCTTTCCCTCAGCCAGTCCCACAGACGTTTGTCCGTTGCTGCATCAAAGGTGCAAAACGTTAAACCCCAGCCTGCTCTCACACCAAACTACTCTAGCACACAGACAGAGAGCGGGGCGGCGGGAGAACAGGAACGACAACGCAGGTAAACCAACATTGGAACGTCGAACCCCCACCGTCGTGATGATCGTATATACGCCCTCTCCCCTTCGCGCCTTTTTGCCGCAAAAAAGCGAGCGGGCGAAAAACTCAACTTGGAGGTAATGCGGTCTAATGTAGACCCGCTGCTATTGCGCGCTGTAGCCGAGGGCCGCGGTCAAGAGCACCACCGCAAAGCTAAGCAGCACAGCCGGAGACGATGACGGGCATGCGCCTGCATCGAGTAGCACGCGCGGTCACGGGTGGCGCGAGGAGAGGCCAACGGGGGGCGGGGGGGGGGCGTGTGAGCATGTATTTACATAGCGGAATGTAGTGAGGGTGTGAAAGATGTTCGCGCGAGCCGAAGGTTAAGCGCGGGCCAACGAACTTTCGGGTTGCGACGGAGTCCCGCCGGCTGTCGCGTACCGCCCCGCCACCGGTGGAAGGATGTGGGTCAGAGCAACAACCGCAGTCTTGTCGAATACGCATCATCTGCAGGACAACAGAGGCCCGTTCTTTTACTCCAAAAGCCTTCGTGTGGGATAGCAAAAGACGGTAGCAAGCGTGGGGTCGACGCTCAATCGAATCTCGGCACGAAGAGAGCGGTTCACTGGTTTGACGACCGAGATGCCCATGTTTGAGTATGGAAAGCCGACCCCCAACGCAAACACGGCCACTTATCAATCACGGACAATATCCATCAACAGCCCGATCATGACACCAACATCACAGACAACCGCAACCATATCAAAACAGCAACCACCACCACCATAACACCACCACCAACAACACAACAATAGCAGCAGCAACAACAACAACAACTCTGCCCCCCCCCCCCCCCTCTGAAAGCCCCCGAACCCCCGTCCGGGGCGGGGGCCTGGGTCGGGGCGACCGTCGGGGCAACCCTAAGGGCCCCCCTTCGGAAAAATGGGCGGGACCGGGGGCGGAGCCCTGGGGGGGGCGGGGGGGGGCGGGCTGGGGGGGGGCGCCGGGGGAGGGGAAAACATTGGCGGGGCTCTTGGCCCGCCGAAAGCAGCGGGGTGGAGGGGGAAATACCCCCTTGGGGGTGGGGGTGGAAAGGGGGCGCGGGGCTCTCCTGGGGGCTGGATGGGGGGGGGGGGGGGGGGGGGGGGTTTTT